AGACCCGGAGGTTCTCTATATGTTTCGATATGGTTCTTTATGGTGGGTAGGACGATACCTTTTTGCTCTAAGAAAAGGGGTGCGGATTCTGGCCCCAGCCGGCTCAGAACTTCCGGGGCCGGCTATTTTAAGTGAATAACATAGCCATCATCTTATTGTGCAATTATTAATTATAGCTATATAATTTTTTTTAATTTTTTTTAATGTTTATTTATTATTGAGAGACAGAGAGAGGCAGAGCGTGAGCAGGGGAGGGGCAGAGAGAGGGAGACACAGAATCCAAAGTAGGCTCCAGGCTCCGAGCTGTCAGCACAGAGCCCGACGTGGGGCTCGAACTCACAAACTGTGAGATCGTGACCTGAGCTGAAGTCAGACGCTTAACCGACTGAGCCACCCAGGTGCCCCTATAGCTATATAATTTAAGCACTCTAATTATTAGTTATTGGCAATAACTATATAATTAATACGCCGTTAATTTAAATAGTTTATCTCATTTATAGCAACAGTTAAATCAAATTAATATAATTGCTATAGATACCATAACAATTATAATTCTGGGAAGACGATAGAATATTATTTTCTTACTATAGTTAAAACAGAAAAGCAAAAATAAGACGTGAAAAATCTGATGCGCTGTGGTGTTGGGGTACGTTTGCTTCCAAACCTTTCGGCGTGCACGTACGAACACATTTCACTCACTAGGCAGAATTATGCTTTATGCAGTTTTGAAATAAGTTTTTCTTTGTTGAGGTACGATTTACATCGGATAAAATGCGCATTCAAGAAAGCGTTTTCTGACTCTTACTCATTTCGAATAATTTCACAAGGACGCCGGTGCACCTCCCCCTACACACACACACCCCGCCCCTGCACGGAAGAAGTGAGCCCAGACCGCAGGTGCTCCGGGCGCCTTGGCCTCCGGCCTGGCCGGTCCTGCCCGCCTGACCTGTTATCACAGGCCCCCCTGACCTGAAACGCAGGAGACAGCCTGCCGGGGGGACGGGGTGTCCGTGCGGACGCTGCTCCCCCCACCGGACGACACCTCAGGGGCGGGTCCTGAGGGTCCAAAGGACAAAAATTGGAGCCCGCGCGGCTGTTACCTTTGAGAAACGAACCCAGGGTATCAGTCCCGAGCCCGCGGCACGGCCGGCCTCCCCGCTCCACAGTGAGCTTGTAAGTGATCCGCGATCAATTAGTCGCAGAAGACAGATCGCCCTGTCGATTTGAATTAGCACAGATAAGCCACTTAATTTAATCTTAAAATGACTATCAGCTGCTTAAAACAGCAGAAGAAATAACAAACCAGGCTTCTCGTCTGATTCCTCAAGGCGGTCGGTTTAATTAACTCCAGCCATCGGGAGAGGCCGCTCTCACCGCGAGAGGAAGTGCCCGCCGGCCGTGCAGCTGCAGTTCGGCCGGGGCAGGTTTCCGGGGCCCCCGCCACCCCCTCCTCCGCCGCCCCTGCTCTCAGACCCCCGGGCTCCCGGCAGCTCCCTCCCCTGCTTCCCGGGCCCGGCGCACACCCGGGCATCCGAGTCGGACCGCCGGAGCCACGTGCGTGCGAGAACACTCCTCGAGCGTTGAGGCCCCGATCGCCTCAGCGGCCCGGGGGCCTCCTCATCACCCTCCCAGCCTGGGTCTCCGGCCTCGCAGGCGTGACGGACGGACACCGGCCCGCCTGACCCTCGTAGTGCCAGTGCGCCATCGACAAAAGCCGCGAAGCTGTGAAAACAGGCACTAAATGGCCCGCGAGGACCCTTGTTCGCAGGCAACAGCCGGGTGAGAAGGCGGGTGGGGACGCGCGGCCGGCCGCTCACGGCTGCGCCGCTTGGGCTCCCTGGGGCGGATTGCAGAGCCGGCAGGTGCGTGAGGGCAGAGCGTGTGCGGGCAGGATGCCCGGTGGGGGCGGCCGGCCACACTCTGCTTAGCGCCCCGTTCTTGGCGATTGCGTCACGTGGAAATCATGCAACGCGGCCGTCATGGGAGAAACCCGCGGGGGGTCACTCAGCGTGGCCCTCGTGGCTGTCGCACCTGCCGATCGGTCTGGGTACTGGATGCACGAATGCCGGTGCGTGTTTCCTTCTCACAGTTTGCAGCTGGCGGTTTCCGTGGGATCGGTGTCCTCTGTAATACTACGCACTCTATTCCACGCACTAAAATACCTGACTGTGGTGCAAATGGCTGCCAATCCCCCGCCCCCACTTTCCTCCTCCCAGTGGGAGGCATCATCCGGGTCTCGGAGCTGCAGCCCCTCTTCCCCATTCTCGTGCAGTCTCCAGCACGGACATCTTCCGGACCAGGATTTGCAAACCTGACTTCTTGCTCTGCCGCCCTTCCGGGGGCGTCCGACGTGCGCAGGTGTGGCTGCTCCGGAATGTCAGGCAGAGAGTGGGAGGCCACGGGGGTCCACTTGGGGGTGTGTGTCAGCGTATACATACGAAAGCCGCGGCCCCACTCAGACGTGTCCGGCGAATGGCCAGGCTTCGGTCCTGCTGTGTCCCCACGATGCTCTGTGCGGCCAACAACTCACCTCACGTCTCTGAGATGGGAGCGTGGCCGCGCCCGGGGCCGCCCTAGCGCAGGACCACACACAGGTGGCTGACCCCAGCAGGTGCTTCTTCTCTGGAGCCCACGTGTCTGAGAGCAGGCTGTCAAGTGGGGCGGTTCCAGGGCTGGGGAGAGGTTCCGTTCCAGTCCTCCTAGCTTCTGGTGCCGCTGACTCCGGGGCTTGTAATGCGTCCCTCCCGCCTCTGCCTCCGTCTTCCCCGGCTTCTTCCTCTGCGTGTCTGTGTCCCAACCCCTCCTCCTACAAGGACCTGTCACTGGGTCAGGACCCACCTGACTTGCGGGCTCTCATCTTTACCAATTGCACCTGCGAAGACCTTATTCCCAACAAGGTCGCCTTCCGAGGTTCCAGGTGCCCACGATCTTGGCGGGGAGACCTTCTCACTGGCCGGCCCACGGCCGCGGAAGGCATCGCTGAGCCAGTTGGTGGCTGTGGCTCCCGAGCCTTCTGACCCTCGCCTGGATCCCCCCCCACCGCCCTGCTCTGGGGCTCCTGTTGCCCTGGGCTTTCCGGGTGGAAAGTGCCACCGCGCAGAGACACAGGCCCCTGCCATCCCCAGGCTGCCCTCCAGGCTGTATCGAGAGCCCCGCCTGTGGAGAGCCTCACCCCTAGAAACCAGCCTGGTGAGACGAAGGTCTGTGTGTGCAGGACAGGCCGTCGTGAGGGCCTGGCCACCTAGTGGTCGGGCTCCTGAGCCGGCAGGCAGGTGACGCGGCTCCCGGGCCGGCTGTGGGCGCCTGTGATGTGCGCCCGGGGGCGTGGCTGGTGATCAGTCGCCCTGACCTCCTCAGTGCCCCGGGGCTGACCCTCGGGTGGACTCAGGACCCAGGCTGAGGTTCGGGAGAGGTGCACATGGCAGGCACCCGCACCAAGGCAGACCTGCAGACAGGACGCTTCCCCGTGGCTTCTAGGTGCCGTGGGTCACAACATGGGTGTTGAGGGCAGCTGGGACACCGTGTTCCTGGTGCCCAAACATGTGGGGGCCTCCCTGAGCTCCTTCGGGGGGTCTGTGAGTCTCGGGACCAGCACTAAACCCCTCCAGCTGGAGGAGCTCGGGGCCCAGGGTCGGCACGACCAGGAGGCAGCCGTGGCTGGCTGTCAGGGCACAGAGAGCCCGTCCCTGCCCTGCTGCCCCCCCCCGGGGCTCTGAGGAGGGGCCCTTCCCCCCGGAAAACCGCACCCCCAGAGACAAGGTTGGGGCTGTGTGGGATGTCCTGCTGCCTCCTTTCCCAAGCCTCAGGGGTTCCCCGGGCCCGTCCAGTGGATAACGGCCAACAGTTGAGGAGCCACATAAGAAAGCCACGCCAGCAGGGCTTTTGGAGACCTGGCGACCCCAGGAAACGGCAGCCGTGTCAGGTGTCAATGCAGGGATCCAGAGACCAGCCGGGCCCCTGAGACCGGTCGCCCGACCCCACTCCTGCCACCGCTGTGCTCAGGCCGCGGGGCCAGGGTGGCGGCTGCGTGGGGACCGGGCACCCGTGGAGCGAGCTTCAGGCTCCACGTGCACACGAAGCCGTGTGTGGCATCGACGGCTGGTGCCGACATCCACCTGGGCCACGGAGCACAGGCGTCCTTCTCTGGGCCCGGCTGGGGTGGCGGGGGTGGGGGCTCTTGCCGCCTTTGCCTCCGACGTTCCCTGCCCCGCCTCGAGCGAGCGAGCAGGGGAGTGAATACCCTGGTGAGTGACCCAGGCAGCCCCACGGGGAGGGGCTCAGGAAAGTCTTCTGGGTGCGGCGGGCGTGCACACGGGACCCTCCTGCGTGGGGCAGGCTCCTTTTTCCGACGTGACCAGAATCCCGCGTAAGCGTTCACTCGGGCTGGGGCCCTGCTGGGGCCGGGGCTGCGGGACTGGTGGGGGGTCTGGGCGGTCTGTGGGGGGCCGAGGTGAGCCCCCCTCGCCGCGCATCCTTCCAGAGTGCAGCCGCGGGGCCCTGAGATAGGCCGGTGCCCGGACCCGCACGCCCTCCCCGACTTCTTGTGCCTGCAGCTGGGTCAGGGACTCCCGGACCGGACCTGTGGGCGCTGGAGGCCCGAGGAGGAGGCCTCGGACCCCCAGGACCCCCCATCCCGTTTCCTCTTCCAGGCAGCCCCTCCTTTGGGGCCTCTGCTGCAGGGAGAGGGTGGGGGAGGCTTCCGGGCTTCTCAGAAGAGTCTTTCATCTCTGTGTCTGTTGGGTCCCTGGACAGGCCTGGGTCCCCACCGTCCCACCTCACTCCTGTCCTCCCTGCTCCCCCTCCTCGTTCCCCTTCCTGTGTTTCACCCCTCCCCCCTGCTCTCTGGGCCCCTCCACACCCTCCCTCCCGTGCCCTACTTCCCTCTCCGCTCCCCTACCCGCTGCCCTGTCCTTCTCCTGGGGACCCCACCCCCAGGCCAAACCCCTGCTTCTCACAGGATCCACTCACCCAAAGGGCCTCAACCGTAAGTGAAGATTCACTGAAGCCATGAACGTTTTTATTAGAACTAAATTGATGTACACGATCAGTTCAAGAGCAGAGGGAAGGGAAAAAGCCTCTGTGCGTTCACTGCTTTTCATCAGAAACGTCTGCGTATCAACAGCCTCTCCAGGAGCCCCGGTGGGTTATCACCAATGAACTGTCTTAAACAAACAACATGGGCTTTTTCTGAATTCGCTGCAGAGCCGATTTACAACTGAATTGATGGAAGAGGCGGGTCTGCTATTAAGTTTCAGCAAATTCTGTTTGTTTGTGTCTTTGCCATTTGAACATGAAAAAAAAAGAAAAAAAATTGTTTAAAAAGAAAAAAAAATTCTAGGCAGCCAGGCAGAGTGGAGGGGACACCGGCTTGGGGTCGAGCAGATCTGAGTATGAACCCCTAGACCTGCCCCCGGGCACAAAAAAAAGTGTGCGCCTTGTGCCAAGTCATTTCAGTCCTCCGAGGCTCCGTTTCCCCATCTGTAAAATGGGCACAGAAGTTCTCAGCACTACTGAGGGTTATTTAAAGGATGTAGTGGGATTGTAATTCTAAGCCTATGTCTCCCTCCTTTCCTTCCTCTCTCCCCTTCTTCCTCCTTCTTCCCAGAATGGGCACTTTCCCAAGCAGGTGGGGAGAGGAGGTTTCGTGGCCGTGCACCTTCTTCCCTCCCGCTTGCAGACTCACGCCTGATTTCATCACGGGCACCGCACGGCGGGACCCCGGGGGGTGAGGGGGTCGCCTGTGCTGGAGAAGAGTCCCTCTGGCTGCCGGCCCCAGGTCGGCGCCCAGACCCTTTCCTGCCTCCGTTCTCCCTGCTGGGCTGAGAGGCGCCCACGGTCCCGGTCTTGAGATTCCCCGAGTCGTAGCTTCTGGGAGGCTCAGCTGCAGGGGCCGTCGGTGGGAAGCCGGGGGTGCAGCGGCCGGGTGTCCTCTCCCATCTCTGATGGGGGGGGGTGCTCCCATCGCTCCTTCTGTAGCGTCAGCCCCATAAGTGGCCGGGCTCCTGGGTCCCTTCAGCCGACAGAGGGTGCGTCTCCAGGATGCCCTAACACCCTGGCCAAAGCCTCAGCACCTCCCACCCCTGCATTAAAGTCCCTGTTTGACGGATGGGGTCCTTCCTGGGGCAACCGGGCGGCCTCAACCACAGACCGGTGTTTGAAAAGTGGACAAAGAAACATTTTTGTGCTTTAAGGCAAAGGAAGTGTGAACTAGAAGTCAGGGTCTCAGGGGACTGCGTTCACTTCAGCGCAGCCCGTGGATGGTGCGAGAGCTCCTTCTGAGTCCAGGGGGGCGGTGGGGGCCGGGGGACTATGCATCACCAGGAGTTAGAACACACAGGGATCTGCACGGGGTGGGGGGATGCCCACAGCCACGGCCACGGCCACAGCCACCGCCACGCTGTGACCGCTCAACTGTGCGGGAGCGTCTCCACAGCGCCCCCACAGGGCATGGGCTGTAACAGCAGTGGTGGTCGGCGGGGCCGCCCTCCTTCCTCCCAGCCTGTGACCTTTTGGGGTTCTCTGGGTCCAGTCAGCCACGCCCCCCCCCCGGGATCCTCGGGGCAGGCCTCGGTGGGGGGACACAGCTCTCACCAGGCAGTGGGGGCAGAAGTGAATGGAGGTGAGGGAGCTCCGTGGCCCTGCCCCATGAAGAAGGCGGTCTCTCCATCTTGGTTATGGTAGGCCAAGGGCCTCGCCCCGCCGTGGTCCTGCTGCCTGTGGGCCCAGCTCGGCCCTGCCGACCCTCGTCCTCGTGCCGAGGCAGGACCCGGGGGCCAGCCAGGACCCGACAGCACGCTATCAAAACTCGCCGCCTCCCGCAAGGACGGGGCGTGGGGGGTGCTTGTCGAGACACCTTCCGCATCCCGTGGGCTACAAACCCTCACATTGGCGGTTTCGATAATGCACGGTATGCAACAGCGAGTTTTCTAGGTTTCAGCCGAGATACTTTCTATTTTGAACCACGGGCAGTTAGCTCAGTCTGCCCGCCAAGGGCTGCTACCATTTCACCTTCAGTTGGGAAACTTCTGGATGTGTGCCCAGGGCTTTGGCTAGAGGCTGACTCTTGAGGTCTCGCTCACTGCTGGCTTTTTGCCTCCATTATGGTCTTAAAATTTGGGCAAGATCTGAAATAGAGGGGCTTTTTGGGGAGTTGGGTGGGAGCTGGTAGAGTTCTCTGGGGAGAGTGGGGAGGTTGGGGCCGGCCAGGGCTTCCCACAGTGGCAGGAAGCAGGGGACGGGACCCAAGAAAGGAGCAGAGGAGGATGGGGCTGGGGTGGGGGGTGCCCAGGGGGCAGGTCAGAGCCCCCACCTTCCCCAGAGACTCAGAGCCTGAGAGGTGGAGAACGAGTGTGGTCTCACGGCTCCGAGCCCCCCTGGCACTCTGAGAACAACTTTCTGCTTCAGAAAGACACTGCGGGGAGCGGCTGTGACGCCTTCCCCGGAGGGGCAGCCGGGCTCCCCACCCCCCGGAAGGCTGACTGCCTGGTCCCAGCTCGGCGGGACCAGCTAAGTCCTGTGTGAAGCAGCCCGGGTGTCCAGGAACCCTGCTCCGGGCTGCTCTACAAGAATGGGGGGGGCGGTTTGGAAGTCTCCAACACAGCCACAATTTCTGCCCCGGGGGAGACCCCTAGGCGCCGGGAGACCGCAGTGCGAGGGCTGTGCGGGCGTCGGTCTGGTAGCTGTCCCCACCGCTGGACGACTGAGGCCTTCCGCCCAGAATGAGGGCGCTAGTGTGGGGTACTGGTAGTACTGAGGAGCAGCTAGTGTTGGGCGCACCTGCTGCTGGGCGTAGCGGGCGGTGGCTCTGCTGGGGGACAGGGACGGGCGGGGCCCTGTGATGTTCACCGCAATCATTAAGCTCAGCCCGCCCAGAGACGGCATCTCGGAGCCCCCGGGACGGCCCTGTGGGGCACGTGCTCCTGCTCAACTCTGGCCCCGGGCGAGAGGGTCGCGCCGGACCATACAGAGGCAGGTGGGTGCGGCTGTGTGCCAATAAAACTTTATTTATAAAAACAGGCACAGGGCTGTGGGTCGCGGTTCACGGACCCCCCCCTTGGAGCAACAAGGCGGGGGGAAGCGCCTGGCCCCGGGCGAGACGCTGGAACAGGGGCCCCGACCCCGGACGACCCAGCCGCTAGGGCTCCGGAGGACAAGACCAGCTCTGTCCTGTTTGACCCGCTTGGCGCTGGATCGGGGCGGCAACCGGCCTCCTCGTCAGCACTGCCTGGGGCGTCGCCGGGACGGCCGCAGCCGCGTCCCCCCCCCCCCCCCCCCGTCCCCAACGTCGGAGAGGGCTCTGCTTTGCTCTTCTGGGCTTTTCCTTAGATGGTCAGAAGACGGGAGGAGGCCACGGTCCTGCCCGGCCGGGACGGGAGCTTGGGCCACCCACGGAGCTCACGGGGGTTATTTCCGCGAGTGGGGGAACATACAGGGGGCTTCATGCAGAAGAGGTGGCCGGCCCGGCGGCCTGGATAGGAATACCGTAGAAAAGGCACGTGATTCCGAGGTGGGCTTGGCTTCGGGGTCTGTGCTCCTGCTGGGCCGGCCGGTCCCTGGCACCTGCCTCCGGAGTGCACAGGGGGCCCCAGGGGGCCCCCGCGGTCCCAGGGACGCGGTCCAGCAGGCGGCCCGACGCCCTCCCCGGGTCCTCGGGGTCTGCATCCGGGAGGGCACAGGGCGGGGCTGGCGGTCAGTGTCGCCCGCGCTTGAGCCAGCTCCTGATGGTCCACTTCTGCCCCGAGCATCTCTGTACCACCAGCCGCAGCCCGAAGTTGGCGTCCTTGGACATTTCCACCTCTAGGCACCTGCCTGTGTCTCGACTCACGATAGGGCCGCTCTGCCAGGAGGGGAGACAGGTCGGCATGGATGCCCAGGGGGCCCGTCCTGAGAGCACCTCGGGAGTGGGGCGCTGACCGGCCCCATATGGGTCGTTGCATGGCCACCCGAGACTCTGGGGTCTGTTTCCTAGTCTTCTGTCCCCTCCTGGTTCCTCTGTCCCTCCTGGTCTCTCTGTCCCCCCACCTCCAATCCCTCTGTCCCCTCCTGGTCCCTCTGTCCCTCCTGGTCCCTCTGTCCCTCCTGGTCCCTCTGTCCCCTCGCCTCCAATCCCTCTGTCCCCCTCTGACCCCTCCACCTCTCTGTTCCTCCCCATCCCTCTGTCCCCCTCTGACCCTTCCACCTGTCTGTTCCCCCCCATCCCTCTGTCCCCTCCTGGTCCTCTGTCCTCAGGCATCTTCACCCTATCAGCTGTGTCACCTGCCTGCCTTGTTCCTGGGGTCCAAGGAGTGACTAGCACAATGGAGACAGGGCCCCTGAGACAGGGGGCTCCCGCAACTGCATCCCCACTGCCTGGCATATCCGATCTGCCCACAGGTCACCCATGCAGGCCCTCTGGTCTCCCAGACATCAAGGACCCTGGCCCAAGCCTGAGGACCTCAGGATTGTACACTGTATGTTTTCCTTTCTTTTCCAGAAAGCTCCTTCTAGCCATCCCGACCCCAACCCAGCCTCCTAGGGACCTCTGACCCTTGCTGGCTCCGCCCCCGAAACCATGACAGCTCACCCCTGCAGCCCCTCCGGTCGCTGAAGGTCCCAGCCCCCAAGGCCCAGGGCAGGGCTGCCGAGGGTGTTTATTTGTCACAGGGCTGCCTGGTGGGAGCGGAGGCAGGGAGTGTGTGGGGTTGGGGCGGGGGACGAGACCCGGGATGTCCCCTGGAAGATGCCCACTGTCAGGTGGAAGAGCCCGGGGCGGGGTGGTGGCGGGGCTGGGAGTGGCTCCCCGGGCCCAGCGCCTGGCTACCGAGTACCAAGGGCAGAGAGTTCTAGAGAAACAGGTCAGACGCACCAGGCCCTTGCCCCCAGGACCTGACGCTGTGGCCCGAGTGTCTGAGCAGATGTGAGTGGTGAAGACAGGAGAAGCCAGAGCAGGGCGCCCTCGACCGACCAGGGGACAGGTTTGGAGACCGGGAGGCCAGACAGCGGGCTAAGGGAGGAGGGGTGGGGCCACAAGCCCAGGAGAGGCTGGAGAGGCAGGAAGGAGCCCCCAGGGCCCTCGGCGCCTGACCTCAGATGCGAGAGCATGCACATCTGGGGAGTTCAGCCGCCAGGGGAGACGGCAGAGATTTAGGACACGAATGGCTTTGAGGGAGAGGGGTCGGGGGCACTCAGCAGGGCTGGAGGGAGGTGGGGTCTCCAGCAAGTCACCAGAGGGCGAGTCCTGGGCTGACCTGGGCGGAAACCTGGACGCCGGAGAAGGGCGTGCGGTGTTTGGGTGGATGCGTGTGGGGTGCAGGGGGAGCAGGGGCGCACAGAGGGCGGGAGGGGCTGCAGAGAGGGCCACACGGAGGAAGGCAGCCGGACAGAAGTGCCAGCGGGATTCGGCCCAGAGCCGCCCGGGGCTGGGAGGCCCCCTCCTGCCCCTTCCCTGGGGGCCGGCTGCCCGCAGCGACCCGCGTGTCGTTCTGGGCCAGGCAGCATCCCAGCCGGTGCCTGCTGTCGGGGAGGGGCCTGGGCCAGGGTCCCCGGGGGGTGGGGGGGGGGGGGAGTCCAGGCTGCTGCAGCAGGCAGGGAGGCCGCCACTGACTCGTCCGCCCCAGATGTTCTCGGGGCTGGAAATTCTAAGCCGGGGCCCAGCAGGGGCTGATTTCGGCAGGGAGTCCAGCCTGGCCCCCGCTTGGCCAGGAGCTGCCCTGAGGGCTTCCCGGTGGCGGTCACACCCCGTACCCTCCGGGAGGCCAGAGGAGGCGGGAGCTTGGGCGGCCACAGTGCTGTGACCAGACCGGCGGGCCCCTCCTTGGCTGTGTGGCCAGAGGTAGGTCACCAGGGGGGGTGGACCCGGGAGCGGCCGATCCAGGACCCCTGTGCCCTCACAGCTCCTCCCCCGCACCTGGGCCCCGGGGGCAGGGGTGGGGGCGGGGGGTGCTCAGTGCCCTGCTGACCTGGGTGAAGTCCCACAGCCGCTGCGCTGGCCGGGCCACGTCCTCACACGTTTTCAGGGCGGGCACGCGGCTCCTGCCGTCGTCCACCAGGCACTTGGAGTCGGGCAGGAAGGCGGTGGAGCCCAGGGGGCCCAGCTGCAGCAACCCCTCAGCGCTGTAGCGCACCAGCTGCGGGAGGACCGCGGGGACGGGCTGGGCGTCAGGGAAGGCAGGGGGGCGGGCACCGGGCGAGCCGGACGCCCCGCTCCCCTGGCCCCCCCATTCCTTCCACCGACGCCCCCCGCAGGACTGCCTCAGGCCCCTTTCCAGAACTTGGCTCAGCCCTCGGCTCCCCGGGGCCCCTCTCTCGGCCCAGAGAAGGGAAGCTCACACGTGCCCTCAGGGCGCACCACCTGCCCAGAACCACCAGGGGGTGAACGTTCACTTCCGCGTGGGGAGTGAACCCAAGTTCATGTGCGCCTGGGTCCCACTTGTTCGCAAAACACCAGGAAAGTAACCACCAAACCTCAGGCCACCCCAGCCATGTGGCCTTGGGCAAGTCACGTCACCTCCCTGCGTCCACGTCCTTGTCTGTACGCAGGAGGTCGTGACGGCACCTGCCTGGCTGGGCTACTGGAAGGATCCAGGAGGCACGACACAAAAGTGCTTAAAAAGCAGCTCACGCTCAGTCAACAAGCAGGTGCTACAGCCGCGTCTCTCTCCCCTCCCTGCCCCGTCTTTTCCCGCTCACGCGTGAGCACGTGCACATACAGGCACACGTGTGGACATGCACAACGCACACACACCTATGCATACACGTGCACACATGCACGCACGCACCCACACACGTGCACATGCACACGTGTACACACACGCACCCACACATATGTGCATGTACACGCATATATGCACACGTGTACACACGCACACGCATGCATGCACCCACACGCGTACACACGTGACGCACCCATGAATACACACACATGCACACACGTACACGCGCACAACACACTCATGCATGCACGCGCACACATGCACACACGTGTACATACGCACACACCCAAGCGCACGCATGCACGCACCCACCCACGTACACACACGTGACGCACACATGAATACACACACGTGTACACACGCACCCACCCACATGCACACGTCCATGTGTACACACATGCACCCATACACATGTACACATATGCACACGTGTACACACATGCATGCGCGCACCCACACGTGTACACACATGATGCACCCATGAATACACTCACACGTATACACGCACACACTCGTGCATGCACACGCACATATGCACACATGTACACGCACCCATGCACACGCACACGCACTGCCCGAATGCACTGCGGGACCCCCCCCCCCGAAGGCTGTATTTTCCGGCACAATCTTATGGAACACAAGCTGTAATGCTGCCTCCCGCCCTGCACGCTCCGTAGCTGTGACTTTGACCCCTCCTGTTAAGGGTGGGGACCTACAGTCTCCCCCGGATCTTTCTGGGGAGCGAGTGGACACCACGAACGTGCCGTCTGACTCCTGAAGCTGGGTGTAAACGGTCGTGACGCCCCTGTTCTCCTGGGGTGCTTGCCCTGGGAACCAGCAGCCTGGGGAGAGGCCACGTGGGGAGGCTCCGAGGTCCTCCTGAGCTGACGGCCGGGCGAGCGCCAGCCCAGAAGGGGATCTGCAGCCTCGCCGTGGCCTGGCTGGTGCTGTACGAGCCCAACGGCACGTGTGAGCCCCTCCAGGAGGGTCGTGTGGGCCATGTCGTTTATGGTGTCCCCTCTCATGCCGCAGGACTCGCTGGGGAAAACTTTGGTCCACTGATCCCCTCCGGTGGCTCCTCGTCGGGCGTGTTCAGAGATGCCCAGTGGGACGTGGCCCCTCACATCGGGTGCCAGCCGGAGAACGGGCCAGCGGACCGGATTTCCTCCTGGAGGCCACGCTTGCCTCCCAGTGGGTGACTGTCTTGTCTCAATCCCAGCTGCTGCGGGACGAAGCTGCAGGAGGCGGCCGGGGGCACCCACGCTCTCCGCTCCAGTGCCACAGCCCGCCACGAACCACCGGGGGCCTCGTGGACACGACAGCTTCTCGCTGCCCAGGCCGGCACAGGTCACCGCGACGTTCCCCCGGACGACGTCCGAGAGCGCGGCTGAGACTCAGAGAGTGCCTTTGGGGGAGCTGAGGGTCACTTGGGGAAAGCACCCTGGGGTCTGGCTGAAATAACAGCAACACGCACCAAACAGAAGCACTGCCTTCGCCAGCAGCGGGTCCCCTCGGGGCCAGAATCCCCGGGCTCTCCGCCGGGGCCACCTCGTCCGCATCCCCAGACCTGCCCCTGTGCCGCCTGGTGCCGCCGGCCCGGGCGCTGGGCATCGGTATGCGCGTTGCTAAGTCCCCTCAGGTGATTCGGGCTGGAGACCGGGCTGAAGATCACGTGGGAGGAGCTCAGCCGGTAAGGACCAGTGGGGACCGTGACACCTCCCCGGTTCTGCCCACGCCGTGGCAGACGCCTTCCCACGTGATCCACTTTGGTCCGCACCACAGCCCCGACAGGTTAAGTACCTTTAGGGTCCCATCTGCTGGATGGGGAAACTGAGGCGAGGGATGTGACGTGACTCGCCCAGGGCTTGTTTGGCTCCAAAAGCCCTGGTCTCGGTGTATCTGGGGCGGGGGTTTCCCTGAGGGTCTCCGCGCTGCCCGAAGCCTGGACCCAGCCTGCTGCGACCCGCCCCTCCTGCACGCACCTCCCCCCGTCGTGGGGTGCAGCTGCCCCTCGCACCTGAGAGGACATCCCGTGGCAGGGGTAGAGGATCGCGTGGTCGTCGTCTTCCGCTCCCTGGTCCAGGCAGTAGCCACTGGCTTTGCTGTTTCTCACCTACAATCAGAAACCGAAGGAGAAACCCCGTTGTTGGGGGGTCCCAAAGGCCAGCGCGAAACCGCCCCCCTTCCCCAAGGGGCAGAGAAGCCTGCTCTGCCGGAGAACGTGAGCTCCAGGAACAGACAGGCCAGCCCGCACCGTCCACCCGGGCACCCTTCTTGCTGTGCACTGAGCGCGAGCCCAGGGCCGGAGGGCGCGCGCTCCTCCCACACGGGGCCCGGGTCCCCCTGGAGCGGCAGACGCCCCGACTGAAGGGAGACTGCCCTCCCCGCCAGCACAGACCAGGGTGACGGGATGGGGACACAGCGTCCTATTGCCAGCTCTACAGAGCTGCGTGCGCTGGTGCAGGCGAGGGCCCGTGCGGCGGGCACGTGGACCCATGTGTGTGTTCTGTTTGCACTTACGTGCGTGCTCTGTGCATACAAGCCCGGCTACGTGCGTGTGGATGCGTTGGCCCGCACATCTCCGTGGTCAGGGAGCAACCGCTCACCTGACGTTTTGTGTCGAGTATCGTGCGTCTTCGTGAGCACAGGCGGGCACCTTTGGGTGTGTGCCCCTGAGGGAAGGTGTGTCAGTAGCTCGCTGTGTGTGCTTGTGAGCCAGACTGTGTGCAAACGTACCCTTTCAGGTCTCACACACATACACATACGTGTGTGCAGACGCTAATGCACTCAGGGGTCCGCGTTCGTGCACGTGGATGTGTGTCCACACACATGTGTGGACGTGTCTGTGCACACGTACGTGCGTGCACATGTCCCTGTGTCTACTCTGTGTGCTTCCGTACGCGTGAGTACCCGCGTGAGCATGGGCTCTTACACTGCTTCGCGCACGTGTGCACGAGAACCCGTATGCGCACCGCGCTGGCTGGCTGGTGGCGGGCACGCGGGTGCGCGTCCAGGCGGGAAGCCTGCCCGACCCGCCCGCGTGGGGCCCCCCAGGTGGAGGCGGTACCTCTCCGTACGTGAGGGTGTCGTTGTAGGTCCGCATCTCCGGGTACACGTTCTCTAGGTACCACTTGAAGCTGCGGCATTTCAGCCTCTGGCGAAGCGCCAGCCGCTCAGACACGTCCCCGAAGTCCACCCCTGGGTTCTGCAAGGCGGGAAGCGAGGCGGGAGCTGGCCGTGTCCCCCCGCCCCCCCCGCCCGTGACAGACAGGGGAGCAGCCCCACCCCTCAGGGCTTGACCAGCGGCGGCCCCCGGCCCTCCCAGGACCCGTGCTGGCCCGGCTGTTCCCGAAGGGGAGGGCCTGGCCTGTCCTGCCTGCTGGAGACCAGCCCCGGCCGGACAGACGGCCACGGGCTGTGTGCTGGCTCGTCCCCATGCACACACTCCAAAGAAACGACTTGCCCTCGGCCCCCACCCCCGCCCCCTGGGAGACGACCTCTGAGCCCTCGGATCATCCCGCCTGTCACCGAGCGTCTACCTGGGGTTTAGGCCCGACAGTCTATGCCGCAGGGCGATCTCTGGGGGGCTTTGGGCCGTGGTGGGGTATCAGCGTGACCTACGGACTACGGTCAGCCGTGCGGAGGCTGGCTCCTGCGTGGACAAGCCCCAGGCTTGGGTTGGTGTCCCTGGTTGTTGACCCGCCATGCGGACCGCCACACGGCGTGCCTGGGAGAGGTGCGTGCTGTCTATATGAGCCCTGGGACTCTGTATTCTCTCGCTGTAAGAAACCACAGGCTGAGCAGCACAGCTTTTTGGAGTTCTGGGTCCTTCTGGCCGAACGTTGAAGCTGAGGGTGGCCTTGGGGCCCCCAACACCGTGATAGGCACCGAGCCCTCTGTGAGTGGGTCTGGGAGAGTGCCTTCCCAGGCCAGGGTGCCCGGGGCTCCAATGCCAGCCAAGCCCGGTGGGGAGGTCGCTGCCCAGGGAGAGCCCCTCTCCCTCCTCCACGTGGTGGCTGTGGCCACAGAGGAGCCCCTCACAGCCTTCACACGAGCAGCAGGTGAGTCCGGGCAGGGGGCGGGGAGCGCGGGGCTACAATGAGACGGGGGGGAGGGCGTCTGCCAGCCTCTGGTCCGGAGCTGTGGACCCTGCGTGCACGCGGCCTGCAGGCCCCGTGGTGACAATGCCCAGGTTCCCTTTTGAGGGTAATGGGGTCGTTTCCTGAATGGGGTCCCTTGGTGGAATATGAGGGTTCATAAGGGACTGTGTGCCCTCCTTCCATCTCTGATAAACGTGTGTGTGTTTCCACGGTGTCGCTCACGTGGCTGGAAACTACCGCTCGAGGAGCCTCCGTGCCCCCCACCCCCGTCCCCACCTGGGACAGCGGCCTTGTGAGCAGGTGGCCCAGCCTGGCCCTCCAGCAGCGTCACCCAGACTCTGGGCATGCCCTGTTGGTTTGGGAGGTTAGCTGGTGGCAGCGAGAAATGCACGTCACGGAGATGAGTGGTGTTTCTGCAACTTGTGTTACGTAGCGGGCGTTCTACACGTGGGCAGATAATCACACACACGTGTACACGTGTGTGCAGGCTCATGACGCGCGATCTGGCGCTTACGGTGTGTTTTTCACAAAGCCGTGTCCGGGACGGGTGTCCCCAGGGCCCCCAGCCTCGCACCCTCCGGTGGCCGGGGAAGCCACACGTGAGTGAAGGCTGGTTCCACAGCCGAGGCGCCGGGACCGGCAGCCCAGACATCGCCCCACGTGAGGGGCAGCCTCTGCTGGGTACCCGCCCTCATTACCGTCACGGAGGCCGGGGAACCGGGTCTTCTGGGTTTTCAAGAGAAGCCAGATTACAGGCTATTTACGGGACTCGGTTGACCACAAAGTAAAAACAAACAGCAACCCCTAACTAGATGTGGGTCGAAACTGCAAGGACCAAAGAGACAGGAAGCAACCCAGGTATCCGAAGACGGTGTCCGTGGACAGAAGGCCGGCTAGACCAACCATGGTCCACCCATATGTGGAAGGTGACCCGGCCATGGAAAGGAAGCACTGGTACCCTGACACCCGCCACACGTGGACGGAGCTGAGAACATGGTGCTCCGTGCAAGGAGCCAGACAAAAGAGAAGTGCCGTGGGCCCCATTTACGGAAGGAAGCGTCTGGAACAGGTAAATCCTGGGACAGAGAAGACGGCCGGGTGCTGAGGGCTGGGGGGCGGCAGACGGGGATTAGCTGCCTACCAGGTTCCGTGATTTTTTGGGGGACTAGGCAGGTGGGTGGTCGCGCGGCACTGTGGGTGTGTGCAAGGCCCCAGAACTGCGCGGTTTAAAAGGGCTAAAATGGAGGGGCGCCTGGGTGGCTCAGTCGGTTGAGCGTCTGATGAGACTTCGGCTCAGGTCACGATCTCGCGGTTCGTGGGATCGAGCCCCGCGTCGGGCTCTGTGCTGACTGCTCGGAGCCTGGCGCCTGCTTCGGATTCTGTGTCTCCCTCTCTCCCTCTCTCTGACCCTCCCCCGCTCACGATCTGTCTCTCTCAGAAATAGTCAGAAACAAAAGGCCGCAATGCAGACTCTATACCGCATATAACTGGCCACGAGAAAGCACAAGCAAACAGCACGCAGGGTGCAGCGGGGCGGGCGGCGAGCTGGGGCTGCACGCGCTGCCAGAGCCCACGTCCGGCGAGACCCCGTGCTTGTGCGTCTGCACGTGGGCCCCGGGTCCTTGCTGGCATCACCACGGGGCGCGGCGAGGCTTGCTCGCAGCCGCCGGCCCCCCCCCGCCCTGCCGCGCCCCGGCTTACGGTCATGGGGATGTTCCAGGCCATGTACACGTGGGACTTGAAGCTGTCCATCCACACCTCCGCTGCCCGCAGGGCGTTGCGCTTGGCGTAGTAGTCGATGTCGTTGTTGTAGGGCTTCTTGCTGCGCTCGATGTGGGCCACGCGGGAGCAGGGGAGCACCTCCATGCTGCCGCCACACTGCCACACCTGTGGGGACACAGCACGGCCGCCCGCGGCCCCAGGACCCATGCTCCAGAGCCTGCTCCGGGGAGATGGCCTCCCCTTCCGGGTCTCCCACCACATTCGTCTCTCCTGCCCGCTGCCCCCCTGCCCTGTGCTTGCTCCATGCGGGGGGAGGGGGTCCTGGTCCGGGGGCTTCAACACCAGCCGCTGCCCCCCCGCCGGAGGAACAAGCCCACAATCCAGTCTGGAAAGAGCAGGCCAACCATCCAGACACCCTCGACCCGCGGTGCTGGCCGCGCAAACGCTGCCTCAAGCACCCCAGACACACCCGGTCTCGGCCAAAGAAAGCGTCTTACAGCTGCTTCCCAGAGCGTAGGACTCCCTGAAGTCCCTAACTGTCCCCAAAGACCCTGACCCACAGGCGCACCGTCCTCTCGTCTGTCTCAGTGCACAGCCTGACCATCCAGACACCCTCTTGGGGCTGCCGCTCACTCACTACAGAGCCGAGCCCTTGTTTGGGGAAGGTGACGGGGGATCCCTGCCTCCTCCCCTGCCCGACTTTGCCTTCAGAAAGCAGGGGAAGGAGGAGGGACATCTCGCAGCTGAGGGTCCCTGTCCTGACGCCCCACACGGCCGCAACAAGTCATGTCCAGGCAGGTGGGACGTCCTGTGTGCAGGGGGAGGCTGGGGGTTCCTCACGGGTTCCCAGCACGCGGCCAACAGTCTCCCCCTGCTGGGCTCCTAGCCCGTGGGGGACCTGCGCTCTGCCTGCTGCACAGAGCCCAGGGGACAGCGCCAGCTCCTTCACGCTGACGGTGGGGACCCTGCCCCCAGTGCCTGGTCCTGGGAGGCTGCAGGGCAGCGGGGAGGCTGGGGACGCAGCTGGATGCCTGCTGAGCCAGGAATGTTCCAGAAGGCAAACACGGAAGCGCCACAGTGGGAGCCTGGCGGACCTGCGGGGACGGCGCCGTGATTACCCCCCCACCCTCGCCCCGGGCCTTCTGCAGCCGCCATCACTGTGCATCCTGGAGGGGCCTCCGTGCCTCAGCTGGCCCCTGGTGCTCCCAGGGCTCCCTGCCCCCACCTGTCTCTCCTCTGCTCTCCCCATGGCCCCAGGGCCTTTGCACCTGCCCACAAGCCTCTGCTCAGATGCCTCCTTTTTGTGGTCCCCTCCTCACTCTCTGATGTGACGCTGCAGCCCCTTGGTCCCGTCACCCCTGGTCTGTCTGTCCCTCTGAGGCCTGCGCTCCGGGACCACGGCCCCACCCACTGCACTCAGAACAAAACGGGTGCGTGGTCAGCACTCAACGCAGGCTGTTCGATGGATGAATGAATTCACGTTCAGGAATCTGTTAGCAACCGCCAGACCTGCCCAGCAGGACTTTCTGCGGCGAGGGGCGTGTTCTAGATCTGGGCCGCCAAAAGGTGAGCCACAGCTGCGCCCCGCCACTGAGCCCTTGAAACGTGTGCGGCTGGTGCGGCCACCCTGGAAGGCGCGGCCACAGGACAGGATGGCGGGAAAGGCCCCACTCAGTCTGGTTCAGTGGCCTCAAGCCTTAGTTACGTGAGGGCGGCTGGACACAGACTCGCACGTGGGGCTTTGTGGGCGAGCTCAGGGCCCCGTCAGACCCCCATCTTTCCTGGGCAACATTCGGCCACGGTCTCTCTCCTCCGCTCAGAAAGGCGAGAGCGTTTCCGGATGGCGGGAGCTGGGGTCATTCTCCCCGTCCTCCGGGCTGGGCCCCACAGGGTGCTCAGGGTTGGGGGGCGAGGGCCGCAGGTGCCTGAGGTTAAGGGGGCATCTGCAACCTTCCCCAAGCCGCTGGACGCGCAGGAACACACCCGCCTGGCATCCCAACAGCACCGTGGGCTCGGGATTTCGGGGTGGAGGGGGGACATCCCCACTCACTTTGCAAGCACCCCAACGGTGGAGGAAAGGACAAACGCCCGCCGACCAGGCCTCACCCAGGTCGGCGTGCTGACGCACAACCCCCCTCCCGGAGCCCGGCCGTCAAATCTCTGCATTGGAGCCCGTGGACGACCCTACCGAGGGCAGAGACCGTCGCCCGAGCCCCCGGGTGCGTGATTTGCGCACACCAGACAGGAGCAGAGCGGCCGAGTGCCGGGTCCCAGCTGGGGCCCCAGGACACCCTGCTCGGGCCTCAGCTCCCTGTGCCCCGGCCACCACCACAAGGACGAGCAGGGGCCGGCCCTCCGGAGAGGGCGTGGTCGGCCCATGGCTTCGCGGGCTAAGGAAATGGCTCCTAAGCCGCAAAGTCCGAAGGGAGGCTCCCCAGCCGGGAGCTACCTGATGCAGCTGTGAGGGGCGGCTGCACGCGGGGGCTACGCAGCGAACCCTAGTCAACACCTGCTGCCCGGGACAGGCCCCGTTCACGCCTGCTGACCTGACGTCCTGGTCCACAGCAACTCTCGAGGGCGTCCCGGTGGACGACGAAGCACGCGGTCGCCTTGCTCTTGTCGGAGGCCTGCGCGCCCGTCACACTGGTAGGTGTGCGTCCGAGAGGGGGCTGCACCGAGGGGCCGTCCGCCTCCCCCACAAACACTCCCAGGGACATCGCCTGCAGGCCCCAGCGAATGACACGCTCCCCTGCGCCGAGTGGAGGCAGCGAAGGCCGCCGTGGGGGGTGAAACCCCCCCGGGAGCCTCGCCCACACCCCCAAACCAGGACAGAGCGAGCAGGACGTAGGCAGGTGAGCTCGCCCAGGGTTCTGGGCATCACCGGATGGACAGCTGCTGTGCGGGGCAGGAGCAAGGTAGGGCCGGCGGGGGCACTTCTACGTGGAGGTGACGGGGCCAAGGCTCCGGTGACATCATGGACCCCACTTTCCCACTCCCTTGTAGCTAGAGGAGGCCGTGCCAGACAGTTCTGGCCAACGAGACTAGAGCAGAGGTCTCGGGGTGGGGCTTGTAGGAAAGCTACGGCTTACCCTGATTAGAAAAAAAAAGAAACAGACTCAGCTGCAGGGCCCTTTGCCCTTCTTTCTGGATACGGACATGAGGTCTGGAGGAGTGGCAGCCACTCTGTGGCCGGGAGGCAACCATCGTGAGGCTCAGGGTCTATACAGCAGGGCCGGCCGGCCGTCGGAAAGTTAGAGCCGTCAGCTCTGTGCTTCGTGAGGAAAGTGGAGCCCCCCATCTGCTCAAGCCTCTGTTGGTGGGGATCCTGTCGCTGTGTTCCTGACTGAGGAGGCTGGACTAGGTGGTGCCGGGAGGACAGAAAGCCCAACGACCCCGTGTCAGTGCGGCGCAGGGTTAATTCTGGTGGAAACAGGGGTGGAGGCACCGAGAGGTCAGGAGACGGGCCCAGGGTCACACGGCCGGCTCGTGGTGCGGCAGGCAGCCTGGAATGTTGCGTGAACCCCTCTCAGCCCGGAGGCACCACGGAACTGAGTCACACCCGCCTGTGTCTCAACCAGTAATTATCTCCGTCAACCCCGTCAACTGCCCCCCAAACAGAACAGCAGACGCGAAGGGGGGACCAGGCGTCAGGTCGGCAGGCAGCCGTGCAGACGGAAGGAGCGCGGGGCAGGGGGACCTCAGCCCCTCGGATCCCAGCTCCTCGGACGTCCTGCCGGTGCCAGGGGGCGCGCGGTCACCGTGGAGCGGTCGGACGGTCCCCACCGTGGCGGCGCACTGTGGGCCCGCAGGGCTGGGACTGAGACCCGCCGCGGCCTGGCCGCCACGTCTGCCGCGGGCCGGCGCTCTCAGAACGTTGGGAAGCCAGGAGCCGCCTGCGCGATTCCCCGGTCCCTCCTCGCCCCCCCCCCCCAGCACAGTCACCCCCGGGGGGCTTCAACCGCGTCCACGCGGCTACAGGAGGGGGCGTGCCCCACAGCAGTTTCTGGAGACGCCCTCTGGACCCTGAGCTCATTTGAGGCGCCAGGAGCGCGGCCCCAGCCCTCAGGGCCCTGGGCTTCTCGGCCAGCCTGCCCACCTTCACCCGCGCTGAGCTGTCCCCGTGCAGTGAGGCTGTCAGCCCGGCACGCGGAGCACCGCCCCCGGAGAGCCGTTGTCACCTGCCCTGTGCTCAGTCAGAGTCTGCGGGGGCCTCACGCTCATCCGCTACACCACGCACGCCCACGTGCACACGTGCACGCTCAGCCCTCCGTCCCTCCCGTCTGTGACAGCCCCCCCGATGGAACGGGCCGCGGTTCCACGGGGCCACCCTCCTGCCCCGTGGCGAGGCCACTCCGGAGGCCACGGGGCCTCTGCTCTCCAGGCGGGGCGGGAGCCCCGTGCCGATGCATCCGGAGGCTCCCGGCAGACCCGTGCGCTCCCAAGGCTTTCCGTGTCGGCTCCACGCAGCATCGCTGTGGCCTCCGTGGGGAGTGGGGGCCCCCGACTCACAGTTCACTCCGCGGGCCTCACCACCTCCCTGGGAAGACACACCGAAAACGTCGGTTGCAGGCGGAGAGGCCCCCGTGGCCAACTTTGGCCATGCTGGACAGCTGGGGTGCAGCGGGAGGGGGCCCATGGAGGGCATCCATGGAGGGCGACCACGGAGGACTGCCCGGGGTCGAGACAGGCAGAGCACACGTGGCTCCCGGGTGCTCAGCATGGCCTAGGCCATGAGCGGTGCGGGTGGTCGGGCTCTCCTTCATCAGTGTCTGCATCACAACGTCTGAGAAGCACCTTGCGGAGATCAGCGTGGGCGGGGTGGGGGGCGGAGGCGGCCACTGTGTCGGCCACGCTCCCACCCACGGCTTGGGCACTCCCGACCCCTCCAAACAGATGCTAGCCCCGAAACCAGGCCAGCCCAGCAGCCCCGAAGTGCAGGGACAGGCCGGGCCGTGGGTGGGGCTGGGGACACACCCGTCCCAGGACTGTTCAGGAGGGAGGGCTGCCCCAACGGGGTGTGGAGAAGAGGGGGTTGATTCTGGAGCGCTCAGATGTTCGTGGCCGTGACGGGCTCATTCAGAAGGGGGCCAGTCCTGCGCCGCGTGGACGAGGCAGGCAGGGAGACCGGTCCGATTCCGCTGCTGCGGAGGGAAAAGCCAGGCCTG